AATTAAGATGAATGTTGTATCGATGAAAGATTATTTTAAAATGGCACTGATAGTGTTTAGACATTGTCATAACATCAGCCGGTGGATCACTAATTTGCAAATTTTACTAAAGATCTTGCCAATTAAAACCCCTTCTAGACACTCTCAAACACACTGTCAGTGACAGCTGATAGACCACATGGTAAAGACACGATCACATTAAAATCACACAAGACTGTTCTCCCTGGAAGGGCTGAGGGAGAGAGACGGGGGCACGTCCCCAAAGCGGGTGCCAGAGTCGACCCAGCCAGACTGTCAGAGGAGAAAAGCAAATCTTTGCGTTTTATTTTACCCTCGCTGTTTTCCAAAACAAACAGTGGAACTTCTCAAAAAAGTCTGCGGGAAATTCTCATCCTGTAAAATTGTTCCTGAGCTTCTCTCAGTGAGACAAGCCAAGAGAAGTGGATCTCTGGACCACAGTGAAATTCACCAAGACACACATCTACTTATCTCAGAGGCAGTAGGCACTACCCTGGGGTCCTTGGGGCACAGTTTGCACTTCTCCAGGGGTGTTCAGAAAAATCAAGAGCAGCGATCAGACTGTCTCTGAGAAGTCACCCCAATTAACAGCCACAGTAAATTCCTGTAAAAGTCAGTTTTACAATCTCTGCTCAGCAGTGGGTCATTGGGGTAAAGTTTCCAGATTTGGAAGTTTGGGTAGTAAGACAGGCATGTCTTTAAATGGATAGATTCCATGCACAGAATGCTAGTAACCAACCTTTATTGAGCACACACCATATGCATTGTATCATTTATTAGTAGCAACAATTTTATTAGATTGGAGCTATTATTGTCCTCAAAGGATAGATGAGGAATTAAGACTCCAAGATGTGGCAAAACTCATTCTTGGACACGCTGCTGCTGCACAGTAGAAGTAGGATTGAAACCCCATCCTGTGAGCTCCAGGACCCTAGTGGTGAAACCCATAGTGTACCTGATCTCAGCCTGAGATCATTGCTCTACCCCACACTGGGCTATGGGAAATTAGGCCCTTTTCTGAGATCCATCGATAATATTTCTGTATGCAAAGAGAAATTCAGGAATATGTCAATTTATACTGGTGCACCCTACATTCAGTTACTGTGCATTGACATTCTTTATAGAAACAGTGTTACTGAAAATTTATTAAGAATTCAGATTCAAAATATGTAATTTTTATGAACATAAAATCATAACGGATTTATTAAACAAATTATTAAGTAATTAGGATGCTACTGCTGTTCCAGTAACTATGCTTTTATAATACGTTACCTTAAAGCTCAGTGGCATAAAACAGCTATTAATTGTGTCCACGAATTCTGTGGGTTCAAAATTAGATAGAACCTAGTGGAAAGAACTTGCCCTTGATCCATGATCTCTAGTCTCTCACCTGGAATACCTGAGGCTGATGACTGGTATCACCTGAAATCTCCCTCACTCACCTGTCTGGGGATTGTGCTGTCATGAGCTGGGGTCCTCAGATCCTCTCCACGTGGGCATCTCAATGGAGTCCCTCAGAAGATTTTCTCATGGAATGGGGCTTAGGGCACACCTCCTAAGGGAAAAAAAGCCAGGTAGAGACTGGCAAGCCTCACATCATGGTTCTCACCCCCACCTATTCACCAGAAGCAAGTCACTCTAGCGAGTCCGTATTCCAGAGGAGATGAACCAGGCTACAACTCTTGTTAGGAGGGATGTAAAAGCCCTGGGGGGAAAATGTTTGACAAAAAACTATTGCTATGGCCATTTTTGAAAAACATTTATCATATTTAAAGAACACATTTCTTAGGCCTATACTATATGAACATATCAGAAGCATCCATTTACCTATAAAGACTCTGATCCATTCTCTAGAGCAAACTTGAAAAGACCATACTAATTATATATTTTTCAAGATTTATTTTTATTTATTTATGCATACAAGAATGGGGTGCAGGCCAGAGGTGCAGGGGATGAGAGGATTCACCAGAGAGTGGGGAGCAGAAGAGGCGGAGACAGGAGAGGTCTGCTGCGCCATGTGGGTCAGCTCCCCAGCCGGGGATCGAACTCATGCCTTAGTGGTTGGTGATATCTTGGTAGCACTGACTTTAACCCTTGCACCATCAGGGAAGCCCCAATTATTTTATATGATTTTTAAAAATAACCTTGAATATATTCTACTTAACATTGTTGCTAAATGGCTTCATATTTGGTTTGAAGGCAATAAAATTATATTTGTCTTGAAATATTATATGAAAATGTATTTTAGAAATTTAAAGCAGCTTTTCCTTGCTAAGACTTCATGTGATTTTATTGAATGTACAGATAATGAGCTTGGACCACAAAGACCATGGGGGGTTCATTCTGTTCCTCCCACTATTCCTGGGAAGGCAAGTTAAATCTAAATCATCATGATGTCTTTACTATTTTATCTATTAAGATCTCCAGCAGAAGAAAACTGTGACCTAATACCTCCCACTAGATCCAAAGATAGGCAGGGTACACTCTCTGGTTTCAAAATGTTTAGGGATTTTCCAGAGATCTTCCTGTTAATGATTGCTAATTTAATTCAATCGTGGTCTGAGAACACGAATGACTTGAACGCTTTTTAAAAATTTTTGAAATTTGTTTTGCAGCCCAGCATATGATCAATGTTCTCTGAGCACTTGAGAAGAATTTGTATTCTGATGCTTTCGGGTAGAATGTTCTCTAAAGGTCATTAGGTCACATGTTGGGCAAGTGTTCCAATTTTCTAAGTCTATACTTTTCAGTTTACTTGTTCCATCTGTATTGAGCGAAAAGTATTAAAATCTCTAACTATAGATGTGAATGTATCTATGTCTCCTTGAAATGCTACAGGTTTTTGTTTCATGCATCTTAAAACTCTATGCCTAGAACATGAACATTTAGGGTCACATTCTTGTGAAATTTCGACTCCTTGTTATCTTCATGAAATGACTTTTTTGTATCTGAAAATCTTCTTTGCTCTGACTTTTTTTGTCTAATATTAATATTATTACCTCAACATTTTTTTGTGATGAGTGTTAGCATTTTTATCTATTTCCATTAACTTTAAATCTTTTGGCAGCATTTAAAGTAAGCCTCTCGTAGGTAGTATATATTTGGGTCTTTTTAAAAATGCAATCTGATAATGTCTACCTTCTAATTGCAGTGTTATGTTCTTTTAAACTAACAATGATTATTAATATATTTAGATTTGAATCTGTCATCTTACTATTTTTTTTCTATTTCTCCCCCCCCTTTTCTTTCTCTTCTTTTGAATGCTGATTATTTTTGTGACTCATTTGTCTCCTTTGCTACCTTACTAGCTATATCTTTTTTCTTTTATTATTTTAGGATTATAATTACTTTAGGATTCACAGTGTACATACTTAACTCACCCAATCTATCTTCAATAGTCTACTTCCATTTTTTGACCCTCAGCCTCTGTGCTGTTACCTCGGATTTTACTTTTATATTTATTATAAAGCCCGCACTACATTATTATTTTAGTTTAAATAACCAATCATCTTTTGAAGAGATTTAAATAGTAAGAAAAATACATTCACCTTTGTCATTCCTTGGTTTAGATAAGGATTCTTTGGACTTACTATCATTGACATGGTTTGGGGGTGTTGACTGGGAGGTGGGGAATCTCCCACCATAGAATGTTCAGTAGCACCCCCAGCCTCTCCCCACTAGAGCTAGCATTTCACCCTCCTCCCACCCCCAAGCTGCCACCAGATATTTTCAACTCTCCCAAGGTGGGGAAGTGTCTAATTCACCCCATTTGAGAACCGTCAGTGTAGATCCACGTTCCCACATGGTGTCATTTTCTTCTCCTTGAAGGATTCCTTTTAACACTTTGTGGAATGTGGGTTTGCTGGTGATACATCCCTTCAGCTTTTGTATTTCTAAAAGAAAACCTTGGTTTTGCCTTCATTTCTGAGCGCTCTTTACTCTGGGTGAAGAATTGTACGCCGGCAGTTTCGTTCTTTCAGCACTTTGAAGAGGTGGCTCCGCTGCCTTCTCGCTCACATTGTTTCCGACAAGAAATCTAGGGTCTTTCTTATCTCTGGTGCTGTGCGTAATGCCTGTTGTTTTTCTGGCTGCTTTTAAGATTTTCCCTTTATCGCTGGTGTTGAACAAATTGATTATGATGTGCTTTGGTGTTGTTTTCTTCATGTTTCTTGTGCTTGGGGCTCATTCACACTAGTATGAATTTTAATCTACAAACAGGTGTGCAAGACATCAAATTTCTTTCTTTTTCTGGACTCAAGTGAAATGTAACTCAGAGTAATCCTCCCCCGGTATATTGTGGGAAATTGAATCACAGCCTTTCTTTCCCGCTCCCCCATGGGAGAGGCCAAGTTCCTGGGCTGTTTGCAGATGGGGAGGCCTGTGTTTCTGTTCACAGTCAATGCTGATCTAATCTGTGCCTGGATGTGGGCCTTTTCAGCCAGTGAGAGTCCTGTGCCTGACCCCCTACCTCCAGGATAGGGACTATCCCCCCAGGTCGCTCACTCTCTCCTGTCTCCTTAGGTCTGCTTCTCTCTCCCGGAGCACTACAAAAAAGTCAGGCCTCTTTCCATGCCAACTAACTCTGCTTACTCCAACAGGAGGTGACAGGAAAGCATGGATGCAGGTACAGGTTGACCTGCAGGTTCGACAGAAAAAAAAAATTGGGGTGTGTGTGTATAAGAAATCTTCTGGAACATGGCTTCTATTTTCTTTCAGAATAGAAGGTGAGTTTCATTTGCAGCTATGGAGTGGAAATGGTAGCAGAGATGGCTTCTTATGTGAGGAAATTTTTTTTTTTTTTTGCAAGTAGAAGAACTACAAGCCTGTTTTCTCACAATCTTAGCAACAAAGTGAAAATTTTTAGTCAATCTGTTTATTAAATATCAGATAAGTTTTTAATGACTTGCTTCACTGAATTCAATCATTTTGCTTTGGGTGTTTGCTTTTTGTTTACTATAATAATCTCATTTATCCACATGGACATTATGTCAAATCACATCTTCAGAAAGACTTGACTTAAATATGTTAAATAAATTTCTTATCTGCCTGCCTTACTCAAGATAGTTTCCCGGATCTTGTTGAGCATGTGAGTGATATCATGTTGCATTTCAACTATTACTAGAATATCTCACTATTTATGAAATTTTAGATTTCATTTAAGGATTCTATTTCAGGAGGCAGAATCTCAAAGTTTTCTAACACTTTCTCAAAATCTCTAAATCTAAATGTAAACAAAATGTGTTAGGTGGCCTAGTGGTCAAGTTTACACAAATCTCCCAAATTCCAAAACTTTCAGGAGGATTAGAGGTTCACAAATGTGTGGGCCATCCCCATTCCATTCAATACCCCTTGGGGTTTACTGATCCCTTCCCTTTCCCCTAATCAGTCCATTTCTTGTTTGCATGGTAGCATATCAAACATCCTTAAGGTTCATTTTGACTCTGGTCTCTGAAATTACGTTTCTTTTTGAGTTATTCTTTGATTCCGAAGACTTATTAAGGCATTAATGAAGAGAACGACTTGATGGGTGTCAAAGGAGTTTCCAGTGAACAGTTGCCAAGGATCAGCTTGATTACAGGAGCCTGTCTATGAAAATAACAGAGAAGGATTGAGCTCTATAATTAAATCTCTAGGTGCCTGAGCTTACATGGGCCTCCAAAAAAGATAAGATGAACCCAATATAGATGATTATTTACAGCTATTAGCAATCCAAGCCAAAAAAGAAAAAAACAATAATAGCTCATAATTTAAGATGAGATTTTAATTAAAAAGCAAATGTTAGGCGAATATCTCTGGGAATGTAATTCTCTCCTATTAATGGAAAATAAAAGTATTTTTTGCCCACACTATTCAGAAAACTTTCTTCTTCCAGTTCAATTAGGAATATCACATTCTTTTTTTCTTTTCATATTTGCTCTCTTTGATGGGTTCAGCTAGTTCTATGAGCACTGGCAATTTTTTTCAAGAGGGATACCAGTTTCATTACCACCGACTTTGTGTCACTACATTAAAATTGTTATCACACCGCCATGATTCTTTTTAGCTTCCTTCAGATAGAGCTAACAGCACCTCCAGTTAGATATTGGGTGGATAGGACTTCACAGCAGGTGAGAAAGGAAGTTGCTGGAACCAAGTCTGAAACAACTCTCCAACCGTAAAACCTCAATGTCTTCTCCACTGCCTTACTCCTTTGTTTTCTGATCCCAAATCATTTTTGGTGAATCATTTTTAGTGAGGTAGGTGTAGAAGCAAACCAAAACTGACTGAAAGAAAACAACTCCCAACCTTTGACCAGTAACCAAGAAAAATATTAAGTATTTCCAAGACTGAGTAGAAAAAGAAGACCAGGCAGACTTACATTACTAATACTAACTTCAAAAAGATGTGGAAAGATAGTTAGGGTTTTTGGGTTTTTTTAAAGAATCTAGAGACTTCATTAGAATCTATACTGTAATTTTGCCTAATTAGGCCCCAATAATTAATGCTGTGAGAATAATAGAGAAGTAACAGGACAAAATGCTGGTGCGCAAAGCCCCATGAAATTCATACATCTTCCACTAGTAAATGATTATGTTCCTTTTTATTATTAAAGATGCAATTAAAAGAATTTGTGTTTTCCCTTTTGTATGAAGAAATAATAAACATTATATCCGATATTCTGATTTCCCATATATAGTGACACTGGAAATGTAATTAGCTGTATTTTTTTCTAACAAATTGGCATAAGTGACTATAATGAGGACTTAAAGATTCAGAAATGGAATGTGGACTCATTATTTGAGCAGAAGTACAGTACTGGTATCCATTCATCTAAGTAGCTAAAGGCATGATTCTTACCATTTGTTCATCACCGCTGTGGGTCAGACATTACTAAAGTTTTAAAGAAATAGTGTGCCTACAAAGTGACTGTCAGCAAAAACCCTTGGAATGGAGTGATTTCTTGAGGATTTTTTAAAAGAGAGGGAAAATAAGAAAGGAAGGCGAGGGTAGGTCAAGTATTTTCTGGATGGCTCTTTATATTTGTACCTGACACCCATGATCATGACTATTCAGTAATTGGTTGAAGTTGATTACAGTTTTGATGATGATGATGATGACAATGACAAATAGAAAAATTTCCGCAATCTCAAGTGGAATATCAGCAGAAAGATTATCATCTCTAATTTGTAGATGAGGAAAAAAAATGAGCCCATTAAAATTTCAATGGATATTGTTTGTTATCTAAAGGAAGGGGAAATAAATAGGAACTACAAAACTTTGCAAAATCCCCAGTAACACTGCTTTAAAATCTGGGAATTATTACCTTGGGATAAATACTCCCTCCTGTTCCTTTCCCCACCAGTTCCCTTCCCCATCAGTCTTTTAGCAGAAAAAAACACTTTTGTAATTTTCCATGGGCTGATTTCAATACACCCATCAATGTGTCACCCTTTCCGAGCTAGCAAAACTATACATTAAACTGTTGTGTGAAGAACCAGAACTTCCAATTGAAGGGATTTTCAGGCATGACCCATATTATTCAGTAGCAGCTTTTGCTGAACTGCGAGCAGCCCATCTCTGCCATAGGGCTCTCCATCCAGACACAGAAGCCCTGTCCAAGCAGCACTTGTGCAGAGGGATGCAACATGGACCATGGCAGCAGGCAGAGTCCAGAAGGAGGACGCGAGTTTAGATCCCACAGCCCTGGCAATGTTAGTTTACCACATTCTATGACCTGAATTGTATCTCCCCAAATTTACATGTTGAGTCCTATCCCCGATATGATGATATTTGGGGTAGAGAGGTGATCAGGGTTAGATCAGATCAAGAAGGTAGGTTCCTCCTGATGCAATTAAACCTTTATAAAGAAAGACACCAGACATCAGATATCCATCCCCTCTGCCTCCTCCCCACTCCGTGTGAGCATACAGATAGAAGTTGACCATCTGCAATTCAGTAAGAGAGTCCTCCCTTACTTATCTGAGCGCAATGGCCTGGACTTAGACTTCCAGCGCCCAGAACTGTGAAAAATACATTTCTGTTGTTCAAGTCACCTAGTGCATGGTATTTTGTTACAGCAGTCAAAGCAACTAACTAAGACATTGTAAAAGCCAACTCTTAAAACTACTGCCCCGCATGTAGAAAGTATTTGATAAGTGTAACTCACTATGTTAATCCATAGTAAGTATTTATTCCATTCTTCTTAATTTATTAAAGAACATGTCTACAGCCACATTTTAGCTTTGTCACAAATAAGAATCAGAAAACTTACTTTGCTAATATGATCCTGAAAATTACTTTCCAGCCACCAATATAGCTTAAATGACAAAGTGCTTCTAATCTTGGTATCCTCAGACCATCCCTGTGAAACAGACATAAACAAGTATTATTATTCCCCATTTACAGACATGGGCACTTTGTCATTGACTTGTCTACTCTCATACAGAGAACCATAATTTATCAAAACCATAAACAATACATTCTGACTGTAATCCTAAATTGCTGATCCATAAACAGAATATTAAACTCTTTAAAGTAGAATTTTAATAAGAAATTTTGATTATATATATATTCAACAGAGAAAATTATCTTAATGCCCTCAAGTTTATTAGAATGAACGATAAGTAAACTCAACATATGGAAAGCTCAGTGATATATGCTTGGATACAGAAAGAGGTTTCAGTAATAGACCCCACTCAATCTGTGAAAGAGAGAAAAAACATAAGCATATATTAAGTGACAACTTTTCCAGAAGGGAAACAAGATATCTGCACATTGCAAAACATTGTACAACATCCAGGCCAGGAGTCAACAAAGTTTTCCTGTGAAGGGCCAAGAATGAATGTGTTCTACCTACACACACATCTACCTTACTCTCAGGACCACTGTGAATTGTGTGCCTAATGAGCATGTCTTTTGGGGGAGAATGTCTTTTCAACCTTAAATCTTACATAGAAATTACACCATCTAAAACAAACTCATAACTGTTTTCTGATAATTTTGTGACTGACTCTCTTGGCCACTAGAATTTTGGTCCTTCTGGGAAACACAGAAGAAATGAGTCATTAAACTCATTCTTCACTTTTTTTAAATCTTTCTTACCAGTCTGCCTTTGTCCTATTTTTCTTAACCATTTCCTCTTGCTTTATATTTTGTAAGACATCTGAAACTACTTTTGACACAGGCGTAAGGCAGGTAGGGATGGATGGATGGATAGATGGATGGATGGATGGACGGATGGGGGGATGGATGGATGGATAGATCTCTATAAAACTAACTGTAGTGCCACGATATTAATTGACAAACAAGGTACATAGAACTAGTGAAAAAACAAAAATCAACAATTACACATAAAACCAATAGACATTTTTCATTGAGTTTACCACCATCCCCCCTGGTAGAACAGATGGGTAAAGCCAATGAAACTCATAATACAAACTCCCATATAAATATCAATATGTAAATATTAAAAGTGCTGAAAGAATTCCTTTTAACATTACTGAAAAATAGCTAAAATCTTCATACTGGGCAAAGGAGCATTGGTCAAAAATTTTCAAACTGGGAAATTAATTTCTTGGTAATGAAACAAATGTTCAAATATTGTTTCTATTAAAGGGAGGACTAAATGATAGTCCAAACCGATAGTGAATATTTCCATTTATTTCAACTTGTACTCATTATGACCAAAGCATTCTTTTTCAGATTTATTTTTCTTACAAATTTTCCTTATCTTCATATTTACGTTGATTTGCATTGGTTTATCTGCCTAAACCTATTACATTTGCTTAGTCTGTTAGTTTGCTGAGATCTTGGCACCTAAACTTTCCCAGACTCACTTACTGAGGACTATATAAAGTTGAGGATCAATGGTTTTCAATGGTTCTTACATGAGTGACTAGAAATACCGATTAAAGACTGGTAATGGAATTTTAGACTTGCCTGTGGATCTCAAAGCAATTTACCAAGCATCATTATATGATCTTATAATGTTGAGGACGAGTGATTGTGTCCGCATTTTCACGTGGAGCTGCAAAACCCAGGGCCCGTGTCTCTTAGTGTGTTATGCCCCACCAAGCTGATGATAACCCTGGGAACTCTTGAGAAATCAGTGGGGGGCCAATGAAAGCTCTACACTGCAGGGGGTTAGGGGTTAAGTAAGTTTCTGGAGGTGGAGCCTGCCGTTCAGTTCTCCCAACAGGAATCACACAGCAGATTGGGTACTTCCAGAGATTAGCTCCTTCCGGTTGAATTAATGGGCATTCTTCTAGGTCCAACCAGTGTTTCACATTTTGGAGTTGTTGACCCAGATCCTGCCCATACGAAGACTCGACTCTACCGCCAGCCAGGTAGACACTTAAAAGAGTGGGATGGATTTCATCCACTGATTCAGAAAAACAAATAAGACTTGAATTCTGCTTTCTTTTTCCAAAACTAAAGCAGAATTCTCCCTTTAACTTTTCAGTTGCCTTTTTCTTTAATAACACTTATTTTTGCCTTCCTAAATATAAAAGCAATTGCCAGCACAGTTTGGAAATACACAAAAGTACAAAACTGGGAATATTTAAGTCATGCATAATTCCAAAACAGTTAATATTGGTTAAATATTTCCTTCCAGTCTTTTTTCTATGCAGCCAACATATTAACATATACTACAGAAGCTAAACTATATGCATTGTTTGTATTGTTTTGGCTTTTAAATTTAGCAATACATCACAAACCGTTTTGTAGGTAAAAATATTCTTTAAAACACAATTGCTGTAAGTTTCACTCTAGTCTACCATAAACCACAGTTAAATTTATTAAGTCATTTTACCATTGAAATTTAGTTCCATTCCAAATTTTCATGATAATGCAGAATGCTGTTGAATATCTTTGCATGAAAATTGTTATGCATCTGTATCTGCGATTTTCTTAGGATCCCATGGAATTAATAAAGGTTAGAGGTCATGAACATTTTTAAAGCTCTTTGATTTACATTTCCCAGTTGTGCACACTCCCCTCTCACGAGTGTATCAAGTTACAGTCTGATCAGCAGAGCTAAGGAGTTCCTAAAATGTTCTTTTGCTATTTTCCCCCACTCAAATTTGTTCTTAAGCTCATTTTAATATGATTACTGCTGGTTAGAAAAATTGCCAGGGGGTAGTATGAAGTACTTAGACCACAGTGGGTTTCCACCAAGGCCCAAACCCCCTAAGGCTAGTAACACTGAATTTCAGGGAACTTTAGGAAAATCAACAGCATGAGAGGGGGAGCTGACCCATGATTATGCTCCCTTCCCAAACAAAAAAAAAAAAAAAAACGCTCAAAGCCAAAATGTCCTACATTGAAGAAAGAACCAAACACAAATGAGTTTTTTCCTACATATAAAGATTAAGTCAAATGAATAATCTCTGTACAACTAACTAAAAATACATTTTCCCTGACTCCTAAAGGGGGTAGCTTTCTTATTTTTCAACCTGTATAAATGGCTCAAAGTTTCTATTTTTCTCAAACTGTCATGAAAAGGATTCATTATTCTTTGCACATATACTTCTACATTTTGCTGTGAAAGTCAATATTTATTGCACTTTTTTTCTGCATTTCTTAATGGAACATGTGTGTGATTATTGAATAAACATGAATGTATTGAGTTTTGCAACACTTCTTCTCCAGTAATTTGTTAGGATTTTTTCACTCTTCTAACTCAAAGCAGATTTATTTTTCTAATAAGATTTTGCGAGTTCTTCGTCCACAGTATCCACTAGATTTATTTCATTTTCAAAGTATAAACTGCTGCACCTGGGCAGCAATTTTTTTGATCATTCCAAATGGTTTGTAATGGTTTCTAGCATAGAGCAATGGCATGCATACTCACCAGATGTACTGCAGTTCATGCATTTCTTTTTGGTTCAATATTGTTTGGTCTGCTTATTCCATCTCAGTCTGCCTGACCACATTCTCAGGCTTTATTTCATTCCCATTTGCACATCATGCAAGAGAGAATTTCAGCTAATAAAGAGGCCTTTGAAAGATTTCTCATGGAGATGGAGGAACTAATAAATTTCTGTTGAGGGAGTTCATTATTATTGATGCAATTATTGTTTAGCATGGATGAAGCATCCCTAAAATACCCCAGCCTCAAAGAACCTCTACACGGTCTTCTCTCTGAAATCATACTGCCTATATTACTTAATTGTTTTCTCTACAGTAATCCAAAGGTCCAAGAATTAGGAATTCAGAGACCATTAAAAGGAAATTTTCATTTTGAATTTTAAAAGTATTATCATATTTAGGCCAGCACATTTATATTTTTTCATTTTCTAATGAACTCAGAACATGTTGTAAATAAGCAACGAAATTTTCTTCAAAGCCCAAGGTTACAACAAAATTTTACTGGTTCAAAAAACCTACTGGAGGGCCTCCCCAGTGGCGCAGTGGTTGAGCGCTGGGTTGCGAAGCTGCCCACAGCCTCTGTAGCACCGGTTCGATCCCCGGCTGCTCCCCGGCCACTGGAGGAGGGTCCCACATGGCGCGCAGACCTCTCCTGCCGCCCGCTGCTCCCCTCAGCAGTGTACTTCGGTCCTTCTGCCTGTTCTGCTCCCCGCTCTGGCTCTGGTGAATTCTCTCACCCTCCCGTGCTTCTGACTGTACCCAGTGCTTGTATAAATAAATAAATAAATAAATAAATAAATAAATAAATAAATAAATAAATCTTAAAAAAAAAATACCTACTGGACCTTCTCATCTCATTGTAATAAAGTAAATACATAGGAAATGTAGGAAATTCAAATATTTGTTGTACACAAGGAAAACAATATCAATGTACATATTAGTCAATATGTTAATTTTTAATCAGTGTTTCTCTTGCTGGAATGTGTTTTTAAGCTTGGGAATTTGGTCTGATGATCAAGCATCGTTTTCATAACAATATCAGTATTTGTACAACTTTTATTCTCATTAGTCAGCCTTCCTAAAACACACACACACACACACACACACACACACACATGTTTTACAAAATAAATCAACCCATATTATTTATTCCTCTAGGCTAAGTTCATGCCTGATGTTAGTATTTACAACCATGACCTTTGCCCTGATATCAAAACAAAAACTCACATGATAGCCACCCACTGGACACACCCCCTTGATGATTAATAGGCAACTCAAACTTAAAAATCTAAGAAGATACTTTGTTGTGTCCCTCAGATCAGTCTCATTCAGTCTTTCCCATCTCTGCAAAGGATACAACCACATGCTCAAGGTAAAACTCAGGGCCATCTTGCATTGTTCTTTTCCTCTCTCCAATATCAATACCAACTGCTATAGGCACTAACTTCAAAACATATGCCAACTCCCTGGTGGCACAGGGGTTAAATCTCA